GAGCCCCAACTCTCTTGAAAGGAAAAGGCCGGATCCAAGAAAACACCACCCGGAAGGAACGATTCGCGAGAAAGCCCTTTCGGCAAGACGGGGTCCTGGGAGGTTTTGGACTGGACCTGCCTGCCAGATATGAAGAGGTATCTCAGTAATGACGCCCGTCTCGTAAGTGGAAAAAGGTCGGACGGAGTAGGGGCTGAGGTGAGTTATCAGCAGGGGGAGGACTGATCACCCTTCCTTTTTGGGGTTGATGGGCCGGCATCCGCCTACTCGTTGGTGGGCCAAGGTCTGCGTACCTCCGAGTGAGAATCAGTCGTGTGATGGGGACATCGCATTTTGAGTGGGGGAAAGGTGTGCCATCTACCAAAGAAAAAGCGTGCAAAAGAGAAGGGCACCATGAGCGTAAGAATGAATGAGTAATCGACTTTGCGCAGGCTTGAGAAAAAGTCTGGCAAGATGTCCAGAAGAAAAGAATGAATGAGTAATTAACGTTGCATGAGCTTGAGAAAAAGGTCTGGCAAGATGTCCAGAAGAGAAGAAAGGATGAGTAATTGACTTTGCGCAGGCTTGAGAAAAGGCCTGGCAAGATGTCCAGAAGAGAAATGGGTGAGAAATTGACGTTGGATGAGCTTAAGAAAAGGCCTGGCAAGCGACTTGTGTGATTGATTTGGCATAAGCTTGAAAATGAGGCAACTAAGACGTCTGGAAAAGAAAAGACTCGTATGATGGACTATGTATGGATCTGAGAGAAAAACTGGCAGGCTCAGAAACAGATGAGTATTTGGAAACAGGTCTGACAAGGTGTCTAAAAGAGGGATGCACAAGGGATGAACTGAGCAGCATGCATGAAAAAAGTTAAAAATAAGCAAGGAACAAGAAAGGACAAAGAGTGATATAAATGCAAAATTAGCAGGACCTGAGGAGAGTCGGGCGAAAGGACCCGGGGAAGATGCATGTGGATTTGGCAAGGCCTGAGCATCGGGGAACGGTGAAGGGAAAACATGGATTGCACGGGCCAAAAAGTAGATTATTGCTTTTATAAGAGTAATGAATGAGGCGAGGTCAAAATGGTTTCTGCTCGAGAATGCTTCCTCGATGAAATGGGAAGACAAATTTGAGATTACGAAGCACTTAAGGGGAGTTGTGCCTGGGCTCAACGATTCGAAGTGGGTATCACCACGGCAAAGACGACGGTTGTACTGGACGAACATCTCCCTTCCGGAACAAATGTCTGACATCGAGTCGCATCCAAAAACTTGTCTACAATTTGTTATCAACAAAGTCAAGGCATAAAATGAGAAAACCAACTATGTTATGATATGAAGCAAGGAGAGCCCCGCCTGCCCCATGTTACTGAAGTTGAAAGAATTATAGGCTGCCCTGCTAGGTATACATAATTGACTGAAAAGGTAGTTCACATCTCAATTGAGGGAAAGATAAAGAGGCAGAGCTATAATGGAAATGAGCAACCTGGTCTAAGTTGTAGAACCTTCGACTCTCCCATACCCTCCTCCACCCCAAGGGGCGGAAGCTAAGGAAGACATTGAGAAAGGAATGGGAGAAGAACAAAACGGACCCTGGTAAACTAACCACTTGTAACACCTCACCCTCCTCTCTCGTTTATCCCTCCAAAACCCACTTACAAGAGATTGGTGCGCGATGAGGACATCGCGAATGAGGGGGGGGAATGTGTCGGGACTGGTGGGTCCCGAATAACCTCCCAGCACTCGAGAGATTGAATACGGACAATTTGTGCACAACAGAGAAATCTGGAGTGAGGAAGCAGGAGAGAGAAAAGACAAAGGATTAGGCCGCAGAAGGGAGTGATGCCCTGAGGAGAGAACCACAGGAGGAAAGAACTAGCGGCAGCAAGCAAGCGAGCGCAAGAACAGGGGCACATAGAACATAGCAGGAGGCTGGGAGGGCCATCGGAATGCAATAAGATTACGGCCAAAGGACCCTTTGAACTAGCAATTGCAGCACGACAGCAATAAGAGAATGAGGAAGTCGAGGAATGGGTGGCCAGAAGCCGCGGGAAGCCAGGAAATGAGGGCCAACACGGAGGCCACCTACGGGAGCCTCGGAGCGGAGACCCACGACCAAAGAGATCGGCAAGCACAAGGCGCGAGGAAAGACTAAGGAGAGGGGTCGCTGTGGGGCGACAAGACGCCCAAGGAGCATGGGACACCTCAGGGAAAGGCACCCGGGGCCACGTGAGACTAAGTCAAAATAATGGCGTACGGGGCGAAATGTGTCGGGACCGCCGATGGGACTAATGTGTCGGGGACCGCCGACAGGACTAAGTATCGGGGACCACCGACGGGACTAAGTATCGGGGACCGCCGACGGGACTAAGTGTCGGGGACCACCAACGGGACAAGTAGCGGGGACATGTGAAAGTCCCAAGAAGAAACGGCGGCACCGCATAAGGGGAAAATAATAAATGGAAGGGGCACCGTCAAGATCGACATCTTGACGGCCAAGAATATTAACACCACTACCACTAGTGCAAGTACTAGTGGTGACAAACGGGAAGGCCAAAAGGAAAAGGAAAAGTAAAGAAAACTGAAGTGGGAGGCATGGGAGCAATCTGAATAATCTCGGATCAGCCTCCCTCAAGAAAATAGAGTCAAATGAGACCCCATGTGCAAAATAGCCCTTCCGGAGAAAATCGGAGTAGGAGGGACCATTGGGGGAGAAGTGTAGGAGTAAAAGGAGGCTCCCATGGGCATGGGAAGGCCATTATTGCAGTCCGAGAAATAACGGACTGCACCTTGGGCATAGGGAGGGCCAAAACTAAGAGGAAGAGGCTAGAAAAGGGCCTTAACGGCCACTTGACACTTGGCATGCTAGAAAAAAGAGAGAAAAGAAAAGAAAGTGGGGGAGAATAAGACAAAAGGAGTGAGAGGGAGTAAGTGAGAGGGAGTGAGTAAGTTGGCCGTCAGTAGGGACTGCCATAGTTAGGGACTGGCAGGTCCCTACTGTCCAAGAAAAGAGGAGAAAGAGAAAAGAAAAGAAAAGAAAAGAAAGGAAAAGAGAAAAAGGCCTTAACGGTAAAAAATGGTCACTTGGGGAGATTCATCCATGACCAGATTCATTTTGGAATATGGCGGTTACAAAGGACTTTGATTTTCTTTGATTTTTGCAGAGAAAATAAAAGAAAATCATGGTTTTTTGCAACCGGAATAAAACGGAATGCATGCATGAGGAGAAACACATGTTTTAGGTGCATCAGGAGTCAAAATTAAGTCTGGATGCACTTGGGAGTTGACTGTTTCTTTTTCTTTTGAGTGAGGGCTAGTTGTGGGGCATTGGGGCTAAGGAATTGACCCCCATTGCAGTCCGAGTTACAATGGACTGCATGGGGGAAGGAAAACACATGTTCTAGGTGCATCTGGAGCCAATATTGAGCCCGGATGCACTAGAAAATTTAACGCTTCATTTTCTTTCAACATGGGGCAAGTTGTGGGGCTGTGGGTATGGAAAACAGCCATCACTGCAGTCCAAGAAATTACAGACTGCATGAGGATGCCAAGGCCAAAGGGAAATGGGCTACGGCAAGCCTGAAAAGGCTAGAAAGGAGCAATCTCGGCAAGGGGGCAAGTAAAGACGGTGAACGACGACCGTAAGATGGAACTCGCGGCCTAGAAAAATCGGCACACATGTAGAAATGATGGGACGCCGTCCGGAATGTTGTCGAGGACCAAATGGGTCAAAATAATAAAAATCGGAAAAACGGGACATGCGCCGGAGGGACCGCCGGCGGGACAAGAACATGGGACTGATATGGAGGAGAATGGCGGGGACTTGGGATGTCCCAAGGGAACCATGAGCAACCACAAGGAATAATTGTGCAAGCAAGCGGCGCCGTCGAGATCGAGGATCTAGACGATGGAAAATATCAGCACCACTAGTGCAAGCACTAATGGGAGCAAGTGGGAGAGCCATGAGAGAAAGAAAAATGAAATAAGGGTGTTGGGAAGGCTGGCCAGCAGCCCCGGATATCTCGGACTAGCCTTGAGAGGCCCAACGTGAGAAAAAGGCTGCCCTTAGAAAATCGGAGCAAAAGGGGTGACCATCAAGGGCTCTCGGGCACCCACCTAGGAGGCGACGTGAATCCATCTGGCGGTCGGGGGGGATCGCTCCTCCGACCTGTGTGATCGTAAGGGTCCTCCATCCCCGAGTGCTCCAATTCCTCTAGATCTATGAAACACCCGCGGACGCTTCTGCGGGGTCGAGCTTGGAGGGTGACCATATTCATCTCCGCAGCTGCGGCTGGCCTTGGCCGCGCCTCGGACATAAATTTATGAGATTTTTCCTGAAAAAAATAATGGGTAAAAAATATATATATATGGGGTTGTAGGGATTTTCAACCCCTACAACCCCATATTTTGTTTTTTTGAAAACAAATAATTTTTTTGAATTAAAAAAAAAAGGTGGAAAAAAGAAATTGAAAAAAAAAATTAAAAAAAAGTTTTTTTTTGGGGGGGGAATTTTGGTTGGCAGTTCTTAGTATTCTTCGTTTTTAGTGTTTTTTTTTTTTTTTTNGTTTTTAGTGTTTTTTTTTTTTTTTTTGCAATAAAAAAAAAAMAATAAAGGAATGGAAAAATATATATATATATTTTTTCCGGGGCGTATTAGTATTTGTGTGTGAACGTGTGTGTGTGTGAACGTGGCAACCCTGCCCCCACCAATCATTCCATCAATCAACGGGAAAAAAAAACAAAAAAAGAACTGCACTTTTTTTTTTCTTTTTCTTTCCAAATCCCTTTGATTACAGCCACCCGCCCCCCTCCCCCCCCCCAATTTTATTTATTTATTTATTTATTTAGTGAGGGGGTGGGGCTGGGGTTGCGCCACCCCATGACACTTCCTGAATCCCCAACTTACCTCCCCATTGGCTGCCATGTGGCCGCAAAGTCGCGCGGTCGCGCGGACACGTCCGCGGGGTCGTGGACCTGTCCGCGGCCGCGGACCTCGCCGTACTTGGCCGCCCCTGAGGGGTATTCGTAGCTCTAGATCAAGAGCGGGTAGATTGGACTCCCCTGGCCTATCGTGTATCCGTCAACCTGTGTGATCGTCATCGGCGTAAAAAGTCGACGGGGGCCTCACAATCAACACGAGGGACATGTCTCCCTCTACGTCCTGTGGTGGGGCCGATCGTGCCTCCTCACGAGCGTGGACCCCAACCTTCATGACAAAACTACGTATTGCACCACTGTCACTGCGCTCACGGTCAGTGCGCAACCCTGCCTCCTCCTCCATAACAACGTCCCCCATCTGCGAAGTGTCATGGACTCCTTGCAATCCGCCCTCCACATCTGTCGTGCAAACGCCAACGATGACTCTGTCGATGGTATCCTTGTCTGGGGCCTCTCCTATGTTGCCGAAGTCAGAGCTATCAAGTCCTGCGTTCTCATCACCGTCATCTCCATGCAGCCTACCTCCAGTGTCACCCCGCTCTCGGTTACACCCTCCCTCTCGACGCCACGATCGCTCTGCACACCAACGGGCGGTCCACCACTGTCCATCTGTGATCCACCAGCAGGCCGTGCTCCACCGGTCTCCAACTCCCTCAACCTGCGCTGCTCAGCCTCGTATGCCTCTCTACCCTCCCACCTCGGCATAGACTGCAACCGTGCCTCCTCCTCACGATCAAGGCGGACGTCCCTCTACTCAGCCATCTCCACTCTCTCTCTCTCATCTGTCCCATGCACGGACTCAACTGCAAACCTATAACGCAAGGGAGGCGATCCACCATGTCAGAGCTATCAAGTCCTGCGTTTTCATCACCATCATCTCCATGCAGCCGACCTCCAATGTCACCCTGGCTCTCGGTTACACCCTCCCTCTCGACGCCACGATCGCTCTGCACACCAACGGGCGGTCCACCTTTGTCCATCTGTGATCCACCAGCCGACCGTGCTCCACCGGTCTCCAACTCCCTCAACCTGCACTGCTCAGCCTCGTATGCCTCTCTACCCTCCCACCTCGGCATAGACTGCAACCGTGCCTCCTCCTCACGATCAAGGCGGGCGTCCCTCTACTCGGCCATCTCCACTCTCTATCTCTCATCTGTCCCACGCGCGGACTGTGTTGCAGACCTATAACGCAAGACAGGCGATCCACCATGGGAGTCAACGACATCGAAATCGCTGGTCCGCAATGAAGATAGCTTGTCGTGGGTGTCATTGCGATCACGGTCGTGTGGAGGAGTGACCGGAGTTCGCTTCCTAACTAGGATCTCATCAAGGCGCTGCGAATGGGCACCGCCCTTCCCTGCCAACCTCTTCGATCAGCGCAGCTCATGTGAATGGACGAACGAGTGGTGGCTAGGATCAAACCGTGCGTCCGTCAAACGGTCCTCCGTGTCGGGCTCGTCCTCACCGTTGGAGTCAACCCCTAGAACCCTCCGCCTCAGCAAAGGTTGTAGATGTGCAGCCCTGCTACTCGATGGCTGATCCGCGCGACCCCTGGAACCCGCAGGGGGGCGCCCATCTCCAACTCCCTCTGTCCAGCCTAACCCGTCGTCCGTGATGACCGATGTCCGAGGTGTAAGCCCGTCTGGTCCTCCGCCTTACGTGAAATACACCTGCTCCAAGGTCCTGTCCCCGCCCGGCGCCTACGTGGCACCCTGGGCCGCGGATCCTGTGGCCCAGTCCGAGCCACGCGGCCTAGACCGCGCGACCCAGTTCCCGCGCGGCCGCGCCATGGCTCAGTGGGGGCGTGTGCGGCCTTGGCCTGCACACGTCCTCCTCTAGAGGACTGCACATTCAAAAATATATATAAATATATATTTTGGGGGGGGTGATTTTTGATGAATGAGAAAATTAATTAAAAAAATAGCAAAAAAGAATTCGTTGATTCATTGATTGATTGATTGATTGATTGATTGATTGGTTGGTTGGTTGGGGAAGGGTCGCCCA